TACTAGTAGTATAGTATAGTGGTATCCGTCGTAGCAATCTTAGTGGTAGTCGTAGTCGTAGTCGTAGTCGTAGTAGTAGTAGTAGAAGAAGTAGAAGTAGTAGTAGTAGTAGTAGTAATAGTAGTAGTAGTAGTAGTAGTAGTAGTAGTAGTAGTAATCGTAGTTGTAGCAGTAGTAGTAGCAGCAGTAGCATTAGTGGTAGTAGTAGTTGTAGCAGTAGTCGCAGTCGTTGTCGTGGCAATATCAATAGCAATACCAATGTGTAGCCGTGTCAGAAGCAGAAAACGTAATAAACAAGAGAAGCAGCAGTAGGATTAGAGGTCGGGTCATGGGTTCAATAGATGTCGTTGCGTCGCGCGCGTGTGTGCGACTTACGTGAGATGTGGATACGGCCACCAAGAGCCGTGATGATTCGTTGATTGATGTTGGTGTTAGCGGGGTAAGGTTTCTGAGCCGAATCTCTCGTAAGGGCGTGTTGTTGGAAAGAGCAAGTCATGTTTATATGCGCGGTGTCTCCAACACCGTCAATCTCGAAGTCTTCAGTGCGAAAGGTTGTTACAATTCTGGTCAGGGTCTCTAGGGTGGCCGGCACCGATCCGTGATTCCACCCACGCTTGGACCAAAATTGTCGAGAGTGCCGAACAGGGCAATTGATAGTAGGACCCTAAGGGCGGCCGCCTGGCAGACAGTTCAGCCAGAGGGTGGGGTTCTACGTCAAATAGGTTGGGCCACACGAGGCGTTCCAGAAGAGGTTTCGCCCCCGGCGCCTCTTGCCTTCCTGCGGCCGCCGGCGAGAGCAAACTGCGGCGGGCACACCAGCGGAGGCCGGGGACGAGGCAAAAGCAAAAGTGAGACGGCGACATGTTTGGGAAATAATAGCAGCGCGTTCAACATAAATCGTACAATGCAGCAGCCATGCGTTGCAAGCGGTTGAAGACTGTGGGCGAGAATGTGAACACGGTGAGTGGGAAGCAAACTGACGAGACAATTAAGGTCACGGCCATACGACCGAGACCGCATGGTTGCCGACCCGCAAATCCAAAGGGCAGGGCCTTTCAGAGCGATGCGCAGCGGGCGTCGGCTGGAAAAATGAATGACGCGTCGCGTATCCCCACCAGCAGTCATACCGCCCTTTGGACTTTTCCTTGCGGGCCGCTAATCAAAAAAGTATCCACACCAGCCCACCCAAAAGCAATCACCAGGCGAGTTGCCCTAATCAGAAACGTGTAGCAGTACGCTCTCATTCAGAGCCTACTGGAGGCATCGTGGTTCCCTCTTGGGGCCATTTTGAATGCATATGTGGGGCTTTCTTGAGGCCATCCTGGGACTCTCGTGGGGCCGCATCAGGGACCGTGGGGGGTCTCGTGAGGCAATTTTGGAGACCATTGATTTAAAAAAGAGGGCGGCGCTTATTAGCGTCCCCTCGGAGGCCAAACGAACCGTCGTCTCTTGCGGGCCCTCTTGAGGCGCTCTTGGACGTTCTTGGTGCCGTTTCGGGCCATATTGGAGCCATCCTGAGGCCCGAAGAGCACATCGGAAGCGAGCAGGCGAGACGGCAAAATTTTGAAAAGCACAATGGTGCTGAGCGATGTTGGCTTCCTGGGGGCTCCTCGGGAGGCTCGGCTCGGAGGCCGTTCTGGGGAGGTTTTGAGGGCTCATGGAGGCATGTTGGAGGCGATCATCATGAGCTAAATTGGCCGCTCCAACGCCTCGCGCCCCCCCTCATCCAGACCCAGAGGGGGGGGCGCAGGGAGAGGGGGGACCCCTTCCCCGAAGGGGAAGAAGGGGGCTCGCAGAACGAGCTCCCTGAACCACGCACGCCCAGAGGGCTGATGACATTCGTGGGGGCATCCATCCGAGGGCATCTGAAGGTGGGTTCGCGTGGGCGGGGCGGGACGACCGTTCGGGTGGCGACTGGAAGATCCACCCGACAAGGCAGTCAAGGTCTGGGGCTTCCAGACAGGGTAATTGGCGGCGGGGTCCGATGTGGGCGAGACACATGGGCCGCTCCAGAAAGAGTCCTCTCATTCGAGGGATCGGAAGAGTGGCCACCTCTTTCTCGATTGAAGGCAGCGGAAGGCAAGCGGAAGCGGCGGAAGCAAAACGAGGGCGCCTCGGCCGGCGCAAGCAAAACATGGGTGACGACCACAAAAGCCAGAAGACGAGACAGCTATGGCGGAGGACATTTGGAAAAGTCCTTAAGCAGAATCTGGGTTTCACGAAGCAAGTAAAAGATGCGCGGTGCCAAAAATATCGCTTGGGAAATTTTAGGAAGTTGGCCTGGGCGCTAGCTGGAGGCACATGCGCCCTCATGTCTTTCCAGCGCCCGGCCTTTTGTGCAGCGGGGTACGCCAGCCTTCGCATGTGCACCGGTCAGTCTTCCCGCCGTAGGCGCTTGCATCGTCCGCGGCCGCTGGCTCAAGCCCACTGCGGTGCAAGGCAACCATATTTCCCAAACTAACTGCGCGTTGTCTGCAGATCCACATCCCAATACACTGGAATGGCGGCGGGCACCCGCTCTTCGCGTACAGCCGCTCTGTTCATGTACATGCTTCTGAGTTCCATGGCCGAGCGTCAGGTCACAGAGCTCATGAGCGGCAGGCTGGCAGTGGTCGTTCAACACCGCCACTTGCAGCGCGGCGCGTTGCCACCCGCCCGGGCGCGCAGCGCGGAGGTCGCGACGGACGGCGCGGCGCAGGGCCGCAGCAAGAACGAGACGCTGGAACAGGGCACAGCGATAGATGCAGGAAAACGCAGACAGAGAGAGAGAGAGAGAGAAACAAAAAAAAGGGACGACAGGCTGGCCAGGGAGGTGGAGATGCTAAACAAGACGATGTTGGACAAGTTCGGCCTGGAGGCGTTGCCGAAGCTGCTGCGGCCCGAAGCCGCCGAGCGGGCCGCGGCCACCATGCTGCGGTCAGCGGCCGAGGACGAGAACGAGTGGGTGCGGAAAGCAGCCGTGACAGCCCTAGAGCACCTTAATCCCGAGGCCGCCAAGCGGGCGGCTCCCGTTGTGTTGAAAGCAGCAGCCGAGGGCAACGACTACGCGATGCGGGACGTAGCCTTTCAGGTGCTGCCAAAGTTATTGGCGCCCGACGCAGCCGAGCATGCTGCACCCGCCTTGCTGCGAATGGCGGCCAAAGACAATCAGAGGTGGCAAGAGGCCGGGAGCGTCCTGTCGCGGCTCAATTCCAAGGCCGCCGATCGGACTTTACCTGTTTTGCTGCGGTCAGCCGCCGAGGACCTCGACCCTTGGGTGCGGTGGGCGGCCCTGCATTTTCTGCCCAAGCAGCTGAGTCCCGAGGCAGCCGCGCGGGCCGCTCCCGTCGTGCTAGGGATAGCGACCGAAAAAGAAGGGAGCTGGCTGGCACGGGGCGCAGCCTTCCAGGTTCTGCCAGAGGTCTTGACGCCCAACTCAGCCCAGCATGCTGCACCCGTCTTGCTGCGAATGGCGGCCAAAGGCAAGCAGTGGCAGTGGCGGCAAGAGGCCGGGAGCGTCCTGTCGCGGCTCAATTCCAAGGCCGCCGATCAGGCACTACCTGTCTTGCTGCGGTCAGCCGCCGAGGACCTCGACCCTAAGGTGCGGCGTGCGGCCCTGCAGTGTCTGCCGAAGCAGCTGAGTCCCGAGGCAGCCCAGCGGGCCGCGCACGCCATCTCGCGAGCAGCAACCGAGGACCTCGACCCTTCGGTGCGGCTTGCTGCCATGGAAGCTCTGCCGAACGTGCTCGGGCCCGAGGCCGCTGAGCGGGCCAGGCCCGTCGTGCTTCAGGCGGCGACCGAGGACGAGGATCCGCACGTGCGCGCGATGGCCGCGGCTGTCGCGCCGAGGTTCTAGGCCTCCTAGACGGGGTCCGAGTAGATGGGGTCGGAGGATCGCGCCACATCGCCGATGCATCGATGATGCGGTTCGATGCAGAGCCCGTGTTTCCCCACGCCGAAGTCGCCGATGCATCGCAGACGTCGCCGATGCATCGCCGATGCATCGCCAATACATCGGCGATGCATTGGCGATGCGGCGCGATCTTTTGACCCCCATCTACTCCGACACCATCTAGGAGGCTTCTAGAGGTTCTTCGGGCACGAGGCCGCCGAGCAGGCTGTGCATAGCCTGTTGAGGGTGGTCGCCAGGGACACGGATGAGGAGCCGCGCCAGAGCGCAATGCGCGCTTTGGGGGACCTCGTTGCGGGGACTTGGCTGTCGAGTCACGGGGCTATGGAGCAAAATTTGCCCACGCTGGTGATGATGCTAGAGGTGGTCGACCCCTACGCAGCACGGTATGAGGATGCGAAGGCGCTGGCAATCCAGGTCGGCCGCGCACTGGCCAAAGTGGCGCCCATGGCTGGGCCGGACGCACTGGACGCCCTTGCCTCGGTCGAGAAGCAGGCGATGACGAACTCCACAGCAGACAGCCAACTTATCCGGCTCAGCCGCGAGACTGTGCAGAAGGCATTGGAGGACAAGTGCGCTCGTGCCTTCCTGAAGCAGACTGGCATCTCCGCCCGCGTCGAAGACCTCGCTACTGAGGTGCCAGCGGGCGTCATGATGCACTCCGACGCGCACAGTACGCACGCGTACAGGTGCCCCAATCCAGTCTCTTGCCCCGTGCGCCCCCGCCAGAAGATGATGCCGGCAAAGACCAACAGCACCACGAAGTTCAAGAAGGGCGCTTGTCCGTTGCTGCTTCAGACGCCACTCCGCAACATCGGCGAGAACACCTCAGCGTGCACATTCGGCTTGGACCCTGCAACGCCCGGCTGCACCAAATGCCTCCCAGGCTTCGGAAGGAAGAATCGAGACCCTTTCTCTTGCGAGCCTTGTGGCAGGGCTGATACGCAAGAAGACAAGCGCCTTATCAAAGACGCCTACGGCGAATGACAACCGTCCCCTGCCATTTGGAAAAGCCCATGCGGCCAAACGTTGGGCCGAAGTCTGGCGAAGCTAATGGACTATGTGTTCCACCAGCGTTGTGGGTCACGGGCGCACTGAGAACATGGAGAAAGGTGGGAAATACGATGGGCTACTAAGATTCGGGCCGCTCGAATACATGTGCCTCTTGGGGTCTTTCTGGTGATCTTGGGCTTCATCTTGTTGGGGAGGGTTCCTAGGTTTAGTTCGCGGGGCCACTTCTTCTAGACCCCCCCAGGCCCCTCGTGGGGGTCTCGGGGGCCGTCGTGGAGACATCTTCGTTGCATCTTGGGGCGTCTTAATCATCGAATGTTGCAAGGGTTTTCGTCAACATGAGAAAGTACACTCATCAGGACATCGGACGATGTTGTTGCACGTTGGGGGTCTAGCGCATCCGATGGCAAAACCAAGGGCATGCCCATGGAGGCATCGGACGATTCAGTTGCCTGCAGGAGGCGCGGGGAAACCCTCGGCGCAACCTGTCGCCCCCGGGGGGGGGCCGCCACACATGGCGCATCCGTTTAAAGTATCGGGCGATCTGGTTGTCGGCGGCTTGTTTGCCGCAATTCATGGCGCCACGGATGCGGCGTTCCACAAAATGGCGACTCAGAAAACCGGGGTCGTCTTCACCGACATCGGCGCGTAAGTTGCCCGCTTAAGATGGCGCGTGAGCGCCCTCGTTTCCGATGTGGCGTGCCGCGCCGGCGGCCCGCGCGAGCCGCTGCGCAAGGTCGTCAGGTCATCTCGCGAAAGACACGCTTGTTTTCCGTCGCCCAAATGGCATCGCGTTCGGGGTCGGGTGCCAGGGTGCCCCCAGGATTCCAAGGAGGCCCCCGGTGGCCTCCAGAGCACCCCTCACGAGGCCCAGAGGGCCCCAGGAGCTCCAAAATGGATCGAAAAGCTGCGGGCACCTTGGGCCAGGGGCACTTGAGCAACCTCCGGAAAGAGTCGGCACCGCTTCCCCGGCGGAAGGCCGGCGGAGGGCGGCGGCAGCGAGACAGGCGGTTTCCGCCGGCGGATGGCCGGCGGAGGCAGAAGTCACCCCATTACACAAGAGATGCCGCGGGGGTTGTTGGAGGTGCCCATGGCCCCAGGCCTGAGGGGACGAAGAAGGGTATAAGATAAAATGTTCCGCCGTCGGGGACAGGCGCCCCCACGGCGAAACAGTTGATTGTATACCGTTCTTCGTCCGCTGGAAGGTGCCCCCAGCTTCTCGCTCGAATTTGGAGCCCCTGGGGCCCTCCAGGCCTCGTCAGGCGTGCTGGGGAGGCCGAGGGTGCCTCCCTGGAAGTCCTGCGGGCGCCTCGGGCCGGGGGCACTTCCAGCAACACCCGAATCAAGGGCTCCCACGAGGGCGCGAAGTTATTCGCGCTTCGCGCTTCGCGGTCCTCGTTCCTTCTCCCCCTCCTCCTCGTCCTCCTATTCTCCCTTTGGGGGGGCGGCGCGAGAGCGCGAAGTTATTCGCGCTTCGCGCTTCGCGCAGCGCGAAGCGCGAAGTTGGGAGCCCTAGCGAATGTCCATGTTTGGGGGTGCAGGGTGGTGGTGTGGCGCAGGCTATGGCGTACAGTCGGGGCGCTGGAGAAGGAACCCTTTTCGTTGGGGAGGGGCTCGGTGTTCCTTGATTGTTTTACAGCTTGCCTTGGGTTTTCCTCAGGTTTTCCATGGGAAATCGAAGTTTAGCTTATGGGAAAAGGGGGCCTCGTTCCTTATTCAGGGTTCCTTAGGTCAAGGCCCCGACTGTACCGCTGAGGGGCTGGCGAACGTTTCGGCACATCATATGGCGAGCCCCCGCGGGCAACGGACGATTGGATGCCCGCAAGCTGGGTCGGCGTAGGTGTTGCAGGTGTTGTGAAGGGTCTCCTGGCCGCTGGAGAAATAGTGTTAGACGGTCTTGCCTTCTGCGGCCAGCCTCTGGGGCCTCCTAGACGGGCCAAGAGACCCCCCACAAGAGCTTCACTTGCGACTCGGGGGCCAGGTCGAAAGTGCGAGCGTCCAGCAGCGCTGGCCACTCGGACTTCCAACCCAAGTTCCTGTGGCCCTGAAAAGTCGCGCGAGAAGATTCAAGAGCGCCCGGGACCTCCCAGGAGCCGGAGGTCCAGGGCCCCTTCGAGGATCCCAGAGAATGGCTACATGGCTTGCCCAGCCATTACTTCTCTTCATGCTCTCTCTGCGCAGCGCGGAGAATGCAGTAGCATCTACGGGGATGGCCGAGGCGTTGGCCAACGACGTAGTGAAAATAGGTCCCGCCCCTAGTTGATCTAAATACGATCCGGGCGATGCTGATTCAATGTGCTTGCACATGTGGTGTTTGGTCGGACAGAGCGGAGAAGCAAAAAAACGGCAACCGCGTCGGCGGGCAAGTGGCAGGCTCAAATGTGATAGATGAGAACGTTTCGAACATGCATTGAGCACAAATGAAATTGTGTGAGACAGATTGATCGGTGGGACAGGGGCCGATCCCTGGGCCGAACGCTGATGAAACATGCAACAAAACGATTGAGTAACGCAGACCAACGTGAAGCAAATAAGCGGACAAGCGTCCACATAACATTTAAGGTCTCGCCTACCTATCCAGCATATCGGTGGTGGTCTCCGCCGTCACGTCCACTGCTGCTTACCGCGATCTGACTACCACTAGCTTTGCCGTCGAGGTGCTACACTGGACCCAGCAGTCCGCGCAGCTCGGGGACGTCACCTATTCCACCAGCATCGACTGCATGCTCTCGGAAGGAGTGGGCGCCGCATCCGTTGACCAGTTCCTCGCGGTCTCCCTGGAGTTGCCCGTGTACGTGCTCATCGTGGCTACACTCTTGATCATTGTCCGCGCCTGCTGCCGAGCTGTTCTCTCCAGCGGCAACGTCGGCCTTGAGGAGATTCGAGCCGAGGTCTTGAACAAGCTGTTCACGTGCTCTTTGGTTGCCGGCAACCAATTCTTGCCGGGGGTGTCCTCGGCGTGCATGCGTGCATTCCCGTGCTTCCACATTCAGAATGCCGTAGACCAGAAGGGTCCAATCCAATTCTTGTGCTACGATGTGGGCACGGAGTGCAGCGATAAAGGTCAGTATCTCAAAACATGCTGCCCAGTTTTGCTGCTCGCCTTCGCGGACGGCCCAGCCTACTGGTTGACAGTGGTGCGCGGCCAACCTGGGGCACAGCAAGCAGGACCCATGAAGTTCCTGACTGGATCTTACCGCGCAGGCTTCCGCTGGTGGGAGGCAGGGCGTCTCAGCAAAAGCATGATCATCGCCTCCATCGTTACGGCGTCACCCACGAGCTACTGCCCCCTCCAGCAGCTCATGCTCTGCCTATTTGTGACCGTTGCTTTCGGCTTCTGGCACTGCTTCAACACCCCGTACCAGCATCCATGGCTCAACGCCGCCGAGGCAGGCTCGCTCTTGACGCTCAGCGGAGGCATGGTCCTCTCGGGGCTGCTGGCAGGTGGCGGATGGACTCTCACCCCCAGCTTCGCGAGCAACATCGTGATCGCCATCGCAGGAATGCTGATCTTCTGCTCCGTCGGGCTGGCGGGCCTCTGGGCGCAGTTCAAGTTCTTCTGGACGGAGGACTCCGGCGAAGAGCTGCTCGCGGAGGACTCGTGACCGTTGGGCAGCGAGAGGGACGGGCAACCGATGTGGGCATCGGGAGGGCAGCGCAATTGCCGAGTGCTGCTCGGAAAAGGGACCCCCGGCTCTCTGGCCGCCTGCCTGCGCCTGGCGTGTTCGGTAGACCCCAGGTGCTCGTCAAGCGCGTTCCCTGGCCTTGGCATCGCTCGGACGTGTGCATTTTTCCTTCGACGAGGACCATCGAGGAGCATCCTTGATCATTTGGCGAAGAAACCACGCACGAAACCGGAAAAAGCGCAGGGAATGGACCTCCGAGCGATGGCGAGAGGCACGGGCTGCCGCGGGCCGGCATCGCAGCGCCCTGGTGAGCACCATGAGGCCTCTGGACCTCAAGAGGCCTCAAGAAGAGCCAGAGGATCTCTGGACAAGCTGCCGGCCACGCAGACTGGGGGGCAATTAGGCGCCGATTAATGGGGGGTCATACATGGGGGGGTGGCGAGGGTGGTCCGAAAAGGTACCCAAACGGTACCTAAACGAGCCCCCTGGGGCTCCGGAGGGGCCCGAAAGGGGTTCGAAAGGGGACCGTTTCTGACCCCCCCATTTATGACCCCCCCGTTAATCCACGCCCAAGGCAAACAAGAAGCAGAAGGCCGCGAATTCAAAGGCACGATGCCAGAGAAAACGTCAAGGTAACAGCGCCTCGGGGCACACTGGAAGACACCTGTCCTGTCGCTCCTCGCCCCTTGCGTCTTATCCTCCTCGCCCCTCCTCCTTCTCGCCCCTCAAGCTCCTCACCCCTCGCCCTCCCCGCCCCTTAAGCTCCTCGCCTCTCGTCTTCCTCGCCCCATCGTTCTCCTCGCCCCTCAAGCTCCTCGCCCCTCATCCTCCGCGACCCTCTCCCTCCTCGCCCCTCATCCTCCGCCGGCTCCCTCCTCGGGGGACGCCAGCTGGGCAGCCGCTACGACCTTAGCCAGGAGCTCGTATCGATGCCAGCCCACCGACCAGCACCAGCATTGCAGGGAATTTCCAGGGACCTTCATTCGGTGGCCCCCAAACGGTGTGGTGACCGCACCGCTTGGTGAGTCAGTGGGGATTCGGGCCAAACGCACGGATCTCGGACTCGGGCCGTTCTCCGAGGGCGTCTTGGTTGATTGGGGCTTCCAGGGACCCAAACCCGTGCGGTGACGGACAGCGCGGTGAGGTCGCTGGTGGTTCCAAAGTCACCACACGGTCCGTCACCACATGGTTTTGGAGCTCCTGAGACTCGTGGAGACGTTTGGCAGACAGTTCCAAGATGTCTAGCGCCTCAAAAAATCGTGTAGTGCCGCCACGCCTGCCATGCTTGCGTGGCCATCCACTGTTTACATCGATATGCGCATTCATGTTGTCAAATGTGAGCCGTTGCGTCTGCCGTGGTGTGTGCTGTTCTTTCAGGTGGTCGTTACTGCGCTTGGTTGTCGTCGGGCCAGCGTGACGTGGTCACGCATATTATGTATGGTAAGCCGTAGGATGCGCATATCAGCGTGTATTGGCGTATTGTGTGTCGTTATCTCACCAGTCGTTGCTGCGCTTTGTTTTCTGGGGCCAGCGTGGCGACGCGACAACAGCCGTCTGATAGTCGCCGCTCGCTCTCATACGAGCTCGCTGCCGCGACATATTAGACGTGTTACTCTCTTGGCGTGCGTGCATGAAGTATGTTAGCGTTGTGTTACCAGGTTGATGGGCACGTATGTGGTGTATGCATGGTGTGCGGTCACGGGTTGATCGTGTGTGTGTGTTACGTATGTTATACCCGGCTGTTATACAGTTGAATGGCATGCGTGCGTGCGCGTGTGTGCAATCATGTTGCGCACATGTATGTGTTATGTGTGTTACGCATGCGCGCCGTGTGCGTAGGTTACGTACGCAGTCTGCGTACGAATGTGATGCTCCATGTGCGCGTGTGCATGGTATAGTGCTCTTGTTTGAATACACGCTCCGCGTGCGGATCATGTATTAAAAATGCCGAGATTTAGTATTAAAAACAACGATTGGTTCATGCATACGTTTATTCAGAGATGAATCATGCGTTAAAATCTTATGCTTCAAAGAATCCCATGGATTAAAAGCTGCCCTGTAGGCACGCTGTCGTGTGTGGGATGGTGCTGGTGTGAGCGTTTGGTGCTGCGGCGACTGACGCTGCTTCCGAGAGGCAAGCCGCTCCTTGAGAGGTGGCGGCACTGCATCTGCAGACAAGGCCCGCGCCTTCTGAGAGGCAGGGGTGTTTCTAAGAAGCGCTCCCCCCTCCCCCATACCCTCCTCTGCGCGTGGCTGAACAGCTGCTCCCGCCCACCCTCGCCCGGTGGCTCAAAGTTGGGGTCCTTCGCCCTGAGGGCCCCCCAAGAAAAGTAGCAAAGCAGTGGTGCTGCGGCGACTGACGCCTCTGCATGCTCCAGTGTGCCGCCCCTCGTCGAGGCCGCGGGGGGCGGGCGGCCCAGGGCTCCGCGGGAGGTGCTCCGCGGACGCCACGTGTGTGTGTGCACCGTACCGCGGAGGCGTCCTCCGAGGCGTGGTCGATCCTCGACCCAGGCATGGTCCTCCTCCTCCTCCTCCTCCTCCTCCTCCTCGTCCTCCTCCTCCTCCTCCTCCTCCTCCTCCTCCTCCTCCTCCTCCTCCTCCTCCTCCTCCTCCTAGTGTGTGTGTGTGTGTGTGAACCGCGGGGGCGTCCTCCGAGGCGTGGCCGATCCTTTCGACCCAGGCATGGCACGGGGCACAGCTTACGGGCCCGTTGGGGGCCCAACAATTCTGCACCGTGCCACGCTGGAGCGGGGCCAGAAGGGAGGCCAAGGCATGGCGCGGTGCGTGGGCGCCGTTCTCGCACAGGTGGGGGGCACTGCGGCCGCGGCACGTTGTCCAGAAGGGCGCCGTTCGGCGAGGACGCGAGGCGGGGTCACCCAGGGCTCGCCAGGACGCTTGGGGCCTGGCGGCCGCGGCATGCAGAGCAGGCTTGGGGGGTGGGGGCGTAATTCCGAAATCGAACACAGCAGCCCCGACCTGCCGCGTAAGGAAAAGGCATGCAACATTCGGTTGCTGAGGCGTGATGGTATGCTCAAGGATCTCCACGAGAGGCTCACGCAACCGTCTAGGTGCAGTCTTGCGACCTCTTGGTGGCATGCTGGGGACGGTATAAAACCATAGGTGGATTTCTTGGGTTACCGTGGGAGCTGTATCGGGCGATGTGTGGCCTTCTCGCAAACGTCTTGGACGCTCGAACCCATCGTGGCCCCCGAGTCCACACCCAGGACAGGGACGTCCAGTAACAAGGCGGGCGAAATCCTCCAGTCGACCTGGGCCCCAGAGTCCTTACGGGATGGCCTCAAAGACGCCTTCAAGGCGGCCCAAGGCGACCACACACACGACAAGGCGAGACGAGACAAGACCTTGCAAGACACGTCAAGATAGCCTCCAGGTCTGCCCAAGATGGTCCTCCACGTCAAGACGGCCCCAAAGGGCCCTGTGAGAGGCTCAGGAGGGCCCCAAGCGTTGCAAACCTGGGACAAGCTAACCAGTAGTGGCGTCCTTGAGGCATCGCTGGGCGAGAGGGGGAGTCTTCTTGCGCTGGATAGGGGGGGGAAAAATCAACAGTTCAAACAAATAGCATAACATCTTCGTTGTGGGGATACGACCTTTAAGTCAACAGTTACCCATGTTTTACACATATAACATGCATGCGTTTGTAAAGAATCACTGTTGGGTCAATTCCGTGTTTTATTACCGAACAGCGAAGACTGATAGGTTTCTAATGGTCTCAAAAGAAAGCATCTTGACTCCTCAGGGGGGTCTGGGCAGATGCCGGACGGGTGCCGGGGAGAATCCGCGGAAGTCGCTTTAAGCAAACAGTTACACACTTCGTGGTCTTCGAGGTCACAGAACTCCATTCCCGGGCCACATTCTGAATGCCCGGAGCCAACTGTAGGCCACTTCGTGCTATTCGAGTTCCCAGAACTCCATTCCCGGGCCACATTTTGAATGCCCGGAGCCAACTGTAGGCCACTTCGTGCTCTTCGAGTTCCCAGAACTCCACTCCGGGCCACATTTTGAATGCCCGGAGCCAACTGTAGGCCACTTCGTGGTCTTCGAATTCCCAGAACTCCATTCCTGGGCATGATTTTGAATGCCCGGAGCCAACTGTAGGCCACTTCGTGTTCTTCGAGTTCCCAGAACTCCATTCCCGGGCCACATTTTGAATGTTGAGGCAGGCTGATGCTGAGGCTGAGGCAGGCTGAGGCTGAGGCAGGCTGAGGCCGAGGCTGAAGGCAGACTGAGGCTGAGGCTGAAGCAGGCTGAGGCTGAGGCTGAGGCTGAGGCTGAGGCTGAGGCTGCAGGCAGATGCTGAAGCAGGCTGAGGCTGAGGCTGAGGCTGATGCAGGCTTAGGCTGAGGCAGGCTGAGGCTGAGGCCGAGGCTGCAGGCAGGCTGAGGCTGAGGCTGAAGCAGGCTGAGGCTGAGGCTGAGGCTGAGGCAGGCTGAGGCTGAGGCTGAGGCAGGCTGATGCTGAGGCAGGCTGAGGCTGAGGCTGAGGCTGATGAGGCTGAGGCAGGCTGAGGCTGAGGCGAGGCTGAAGGCAGACTGAGGCTGAGGCTGAAGCAGGCTGAGGCTGAGGCTGAGGCAGGCTGAGGCTGAGGCTGAGGCAGGCTGATGCTGAGGCAGGCTGAGGCTGAGGCTGAGGCTGATGCAGGCTGAGGCTGAGGCAGGCTGAGGCTGAGGCCGAGGCTGAAGGCAGACTGAGGCTGAGGCTGAAGCAGGCTGAGGCTGAGGCTGAGGCAGGCTGAGGCTGAGGCTGAGGCAGGCTGATGCTGAGGCAGGCTGAAGGCTGAGGCTGCAGGCAGACTGAGGCTGAGGCTGAAGCAGGCTGAGGCTGAGGCTGAGGCAGGCTGAGGCTGAGGCTGCAGGCTGATGCTGAGGCAGGCTGAGGCTGAGGCTGAGGCTGATGCAGGCTGAGGCTGAGGCAGGCTGAGGCTGAGGCCGAGGCTGAAGGCAGACTGAGGCTGAGGCTGA